GTGCTTAAGTGCTTGGCTGCTAACCAAAGGGTGGTCGTTTGAACACACCAGCCACTCTGCTGCAGAAAGATGTGGCAGTATGCTCCTGGAAATACTAGAGCCCTGGAGTCCCTGTGGGGCAGTTCTGCTCCTGTATAGGGCTGCTGTGAGTCGGACCAGACTCCTTGGCAGTGGGCTTATATGCATCTCCATGAATGGAATGAAAACGAGCTTTTACCTGGGTAAGGTCTTGACGTGAGCTGCTTCTCAGTTCCCAGCTAGAATGGAGGGATGTCGGGAAGGTTTAAACTTTTCACGTGGCCAACCCCGCTACAGTCCACGGGCAGTTATTTTCTTGAGCTAATAGTGTTAACAAAAAACCAAACCAAACAAAACCTGGCAGGGCAGGAACTCTGCAGTTTGCCACAGCCCCTGATCCACTCCCTCTTGACTTACACTTGGTTTGCTTTACTCAGCAACGCACCCCATCTGACTGCTGTGGTCATTAGGTCTGTAATCCATCGTAGAAACACACTATGACAAAGGGTTAGTGAGAGCGCCAGTTAAAGTAATGGGCTTGTTTATCTTACATACATGTGCCAGTATCAGTTTTCTGGTTTTGATACTGTACAGTAGTTACATCGGATGGCAGCACTGGAGGAAACCGGGTTCAGGGTGTACAGGACCTCTCAGTCTCCGCGAATCTGTGATGATTTCAAAAAGTGAACGTGAAAGAGACCATGGTCTCATCTGGGGACCCGGAGCAGGTGGCTCTTTGGAGATGCCTGGGAGCCAGCCGTCCAAGCATTGCGGTTTCATTCAGAAGGTATTTTGCAGCTCTGGGAGCGTAGTGCCTAAAGCACTTGACTGCTAACCAGAAGGCTGGCAGTTCAAACCCACCAGCCACTCCTCGGATGCAAGACGGGGCAATCTACTTCCGTAGAGATACTGCCTCGGAAACCCAAGGAGGGGTCGCTATGAGTCAGGTCTGACTTGACGGCACACAACAACAACAACAACATGACCTGAATAAAAGTGCTCTGGTGGTGCAGTGCCTAAGGCATTTGACTGCTACCCAGAAGGTTGGCAGTTTAAACCCACCAGCCACCCCACAGAAGGAAGATGGGACATTCTACTTCTATAAAGATTTACTGCCTCAGAAACCCATTGGGGGTTGTATTAGTTGAAATCAGCTCAATGGCAGTGAGTTTGGTTTGTTTTTTTTTTTTTTTTTGGCTTTATGACTTGAAAAGGAGTCCTAGAGGTGCTGTGGTTAAAGTGCTCAGCTGCTAAATGGAAGGTCAGTGGTTCAAACACACCAACTGCTCTGTAGGAGAAAGATGTGGCAGTCTGCTTCATAAAGTTTGCACGCTTGGAAAGCCCTGAAGGGGCAGTTCACTTGTCCTGGAGAGATGCTTTGAGGCAGAATTGACTCAGGAGCATTGGTTTCTTTGTAACCTGGAAGTGTTAATTCCCCAGCAATGGCCAGCAAGCTCACTGGTACAGAGTTGGCAGGGTATGTGTGTGTGAGTGAGTGTGGGTGAATCAGTGGATCCTGAGCTGGCCCTCCTGTTGGTTGATCCATTCCTCGTGGCTTCTAATCCTTCTGATGGGAGTTGGAGTCCTATTATAAATCCTCCTGGGTTTTGATCTGTTAGGTCTGATTTTTTAGACTGAATCTTAACATAGTTTTAGAACATAGATCCAAAGCAGAAGGAAAGCAGTGGCCTGAGACATTTCCGTGCTGGTGGCAGAGTTTAAGATGAGCAGCGGGGAGGTGGGCCCCCCTGACTGGCCAGAATAGTGGGGTGAGTCCTGGCAGCCAGAGTCGGCACCTTGCCGTCAGCCTCCCCTGATATAACCTGCCCCTCTGGCCTCTCCAAGGATTTTCTTCCATGAAGAAACATACAAATTGCTTCCTGCCCCTAGTTTTAAGATAATAGGTGAACTGAATTTAAATGTGGAGACTGGGAGTGGACTAACGTGGATGAGGAGGCTCTGGCTAAAGAAATCAGAGAAAACAAGCCGTGCAGTGCATGGCGGGCAGACCCTGCTCCTGCACACTCCTCCGGGGCTGGTCCGTGGTTCAGCTTCACACCCTTGCTGCTCACCCCACACACAGGGAAAATGCAGACACCTCCAGACACATCCGTGGTCAGCTGTCTGGCATAAACAGGATAACAAAGGGACTCCTTGTGGTTTTTGTTTTCTGAAGCTTCTGTGATGAGGGTGGTGTTCTCAGGAGGTCCCTGCACATGTGAGGCTTCAGCTTCTGAGCGTGACGTTTTCTCTGCTGAAACATAGTGCCAAACAGGAAAATGCAAAACATACTGCCTCTTGGTGGGCCAGGAGGTGGTCAGATGCGTTGGACACGGATAGACAGACAGAGCCCGTGACGAGCATCCCCACATTTTTCAGTGGAGGAGGTGTGAGGCACATCTCTGCCAGGAATGGTGATGACACAGAGGCTTGCTGTAACAAACTGTGAAACGAGGCCACCAAGTAGCACAACAATTTGTAATGTGGTCTCACTTGATAAACTGAGGATGACCGTGCGTCTCTAACTACATCCTGAGCGAGTGTGTAAACCTGTGCCTAGAGAAAAGCATGCTGGGATGGACATTAAAATATCAGTGGGCTTCATATCATGGTGTTGGATTTTCAGCTCATTTCGATGTTCCTTCTCAAATGTTGGTGTATTTTTCAGTGAGCATGTTAATTTTTATCTTAAAAAAAGCAGCCCAGCCTTAGAGCTCTCTCTCTCTCTCTCTCTCTTTCTGTGAGGACAGAGCACAATTGCCTAGCCTTAAAGGGCCTTGGGCTCATGACACGGGGCAGCTGAAGCAGGAAAGCTGGGAGGGTCATTGCTCTCTGGGTGCAGCTGGTGAGGACCAGCTGGGGAGGGCTTATGTGGGCTTTGGGGGCAGAGAGGCCGATTTTGGATCTTGGCAGTGTCCTTGGTCAGAGATCCCATCCACTCTGTGCCTCATTCCTGTGGTGTCAAATGGGTAGAAGAATTCCAGGTCATTGTGCTTGACACATCATGGGCACTGAATGGAAGAACCAGTGACTGTGTGTCTGATGCAGTGAGGTTACAGATGTAAAGCCTGAGCCCTGTGAATGTCTTGAGTATATAGATCCTCAACATGGCAGTTTTCTCCCTGGAGTTTCATACTCTTTGCCCAGTCAGTGTACTCAGCCAGGCAGTGAATTCAGTAGACTGGGGTCTTGTCAGAGCCTAGGCTCCATGTTCCCTCATCTCATGGACGGTGGATGTGGATGGACTTCGTCAGCTGCTTCTCATCCACAGGCCTTACTTGACTCATCTACAAAATGGGATTTGTGGTAATGTTAACCCTTGGTGCTCTTGGGAGCATTACATGACACTTTTTTTTTTTTTTTT